CCAAAGTAGAAAGTAAACACCCGCAGCCCGACACAGTGCTGGCCCGAAAAGCTTCTGCCCCAAAAGCCCGCAACCCAGAAATGTGCAAGCCGAAACATCTTGTACCCGTAAAGCACACCTGGAATCCACAAGCCGTAGAAACGCGCACGCAATAACCTCGAGAACATGTGCATTTTTCGAGACGGTTTTCGAAGTTTACACATAACACCGAAATGCTACGAACTGAGCGTCTTCTTGAGACGAAAAGCGCGCTTCTAGACAAAGCGCGTAGATTTCAGAACGTGGGGTGTCCCTCTCATGTGGTTGCATTTCGCAGACGAAAGACAGTCTACCTGAGGTACGCCGAGCAGCATGAGCTTGAAAGAACGGCGCGGCTCTCAGAGAGCTGAGAAGTAGCTCCAGGCTCCTGCATTCTCAATCAAGGCCAATCCAATGTTTCGGGTTATCGGAGTCTCCAGGGCTGTGAATTCCGAAGCTGAAGTCATGCCAAAGGGCGCGGTCCCAGGCCAACGTGTTTTCGATCCCGTAAGCGCACCCGATGTGAGCAGAGTAAAGGCAGGGCCATTGCATCTCGAGCATGTGTCAGGTTACCCACATGGTCAACAACCTGATGGCCACGAAGCCGGAGGAACCGAAGTGGAGCCTGGTGTGTTGTCCGAGAGTTCCGAGAGAGTGAGGTCGGGATAGGGCCTGCTGTATCAATCACGTCCATATTCTGGGACTTCTGCAGCTCTTGGCGGGAAGTCTTGGCAAATTTTACCGTGGCATGGAGAGTTCCGAGCCTACAGGCGAAACTCGAAGATTCTGCCCGTGGTGACAGTGAAACCACCTGATGGGGAGACACCTTCTCGTTTCCAGGAGCCCACTGCTCACATGCTGCGGTGGTTGCTGACCACATGCAGCCGCTGAGCTGCAAGCGTACTGCTATGGAGCATGGCACGTGTCGGGGAGTTTGCCAGCTTCAGGGAGGGTTCCGAATCCAGTAAGGCGCGGAGGGGCTGGGTATGAGTTTTGTGCTTCGGGTTGTTTTCTTTATGCTCCTGTTTTCGTGCTGCCCCAACAAGCTCCCAACCCTCGCCGACCACCGGCCATGCCGGTGCTATGGTTTCAGGCGTTAGGCAAATGTTTTTGCTTTTACGCTCCTGGGTTCCCTTCCCTAAGCGCACCTGGCTTGTCCCTGTCCCTATGCGCACCTGGCTTGTCCTGATGCGCACCTGGCTTTTCCTTACGCGCAGCTGGCTTTTCGTTATGCGCACCTGGCTTGTCCTCTTGCTCCCCCGCCCCCCTCCTCCCTTCCTCCCCCCTCCAGGCATGTGTTGCAATTGATTTCTCGATAGCCCGCTTCGATTCAGGAGTATAGTGGGCTCGAGTACTGTCTTTGTATTCGACAAGACGAGTTTGGAGGGAGGATGCGAGCGCAACATATGCACTCTGCCACCGTGGGAGCCTCGTGTCGTGGGAGGCTTTTTTGCGAGTGGGCAAACTAAGAACGCAATAAGCTCTACACGCCTTCCCTGTCGGATCCTGTCTTATACAGCGGTAATACAGCGAAAACTAGTGCCTTTTCCATTCTCTTGCCTTCTATTGCAATCAACTTTTGCTTTTGCCCTGCCACCTGCTGCCAGCACATCTTTCCTACATCTTCGAAACGACAAGCCTGAGGGTCATCGCATATCTAATGATCCCAAGTTGATTTCCACCCCCTCTCCTTGCTCACACTGAGGCGCAGAACAGCTGAAGGCGGCTCCGGTGAAGATCGCGCGGGACCAGCCGGGCTCGGCCAAGCCGCCTGTGGCCTTTGGGCGCCTTGGTTTCATGTGGTCCACGCGCGATGTGCCGCAAGGATCTGCCGCCAGCAAAGCACGTGACCCGGCCGGAGGAGCGAACGCGCGGGCCTCAGGTGGCAAAAGGAGAATTGTAGCGATCAGACTGTGGCAGTAGCAGGAGCAGCAGTTGCCATCACCTCAGTCACCACTGCGGCCACGAGGGCGCTGTCGGTGTGGACGACGCGAACCAAGGACCAAGACTAACATCACAGCAGCACCAGCTTCGTCAGCAGCAGCAAAAGGACGGCGACGCCGCGGCGACCAGTGTCACAGCGACCACGAAGACCCCCACGACCACCATGCCACCACAGCGACAACAACCAGCATCACATCAGCTGTAGTGAAAGCAGCTGCATCTACGACAGCAACAACAACAGCAGCATAATCAACATCAGGATAAGCTGCAACTTCAACATCAATGGCGGCAGCAGCAGCAGCAGCAGAAGCAGCAGCAGCAGCAGCAGCAGCAGCAGCAGCAGAAACTAACGCCCTTGTTAAGGTTCATCCATATGTAGATGACATCTACATATATATATATATATATATATGCTACCCCCCCCATGTGCCTACCTTTGGTGTGTGTTTGTTGTGTTTGTTTGTGGATTTTGTATACTCATGCATGTAGTATGCTTTAGAACTAACAGTT